TATATATATATATATACAAATATATACAAAATGAAAAACAAGTGTGTTTTTGGAACATTTCTCTAGAGTTAAAAGTGTATCTAAGCTAAAAAACAGTAGTGGCAAATATTGAACAAATAGTTTGTCGGAATATTATATGAACTTAAAAATGTACTGAAAAGTTTAGAAAAAAAGAAGTAGGAGAAATACTATAGTTTGAAAATATTTCCGAGAAATTACAAATAACATTAGAAACAGGTTCTTTAGGGTCCTTTGAAATATTCAGGAATATAGAAAATACATCTTGATAAACAACACAGAAATTATAATTAAGATTTGATAAAATAAATGAAATTCTCAAGTGTTTGTCTATGGTAGCACGTTAAATACTTGACAGTAGACGTTGAGAGTAAGGAATGTGTTTAACATTATATTGAGGGAAAACATAAAACCTACTTAGAGAGCGATTTGTGGAGGTACGGAGAAAACGACCCAAAAATTCGACTTCTTACGACGAGCAGACCTGAGGTTGATTAGACCATGAACTTTTGAATACTTTTTTCCATACGTCTTTAAACGCTTTACAATGGTTACGTGAAAATGACATTAAAGAAACTTGAATGTAACTTTTAAAGGAGGATACAAAAATGTTGAGAAATTATATCAACATTTTACCAAAATGATAAAAGTTATCTTGAGAAATTGTGTAATAAATTACGAAATATTAAAATGACAGTTAAAATATAAATAGAATTGAATTTCACAGATGTTGTTTAGAAATAACTATACACAAAGATGTTTACGGGACTGAATGGACGTATTCAAACTATTCAAACAGAAATCAAACACAGATATACTTATGTGCATGTAGAATTAGGACTGAAAGGAACGGAGTTTTCCAGTTTCTTATAAAAGCTCTTAGTGCGTCCCACACAAGTTGATCCTCTGGTATTTTTGCCTTTAGTTCAAGTCTGATCTTCTTCGTCCCGGTCTTCAACTGAAGGCCGTGGTTACACTGTGCGGAGGTGAATGTTTGACGGACGTCCTGGGTCCGTGGTCAACCCCGGCCGCTGGATCTGGCCGATCCATGGATATGCAGGTAATCCGTTATTTTTTAGCTTGAAAGTTTAGCAAAAAAAACGAACAAGAAACTTGAAGCAGTTATACTGAAAACGACGTTATATTACTGGTTGAAAAGAATAGTCTAAAAACACAATCATAACAATATAGACACCCATCATAGGATCATTGAAAAGTTACTGTATAGCATTGCGGTATAGCAGTGATAGATTTTGTCAGAAATGGTCGTTATTCTATAACGTCGCTTAAGAATGCAGATAATGTTGCCTGTTTGTAGTCCTGAAACGCATATCTATATACTTATGTGAATAGTTAGATCATCAAAATATATACCCTACGTCTTGCCTCGTATCCATAACACCATATTTTGCTTCATATAACTGTTTCATTAATCCTCATCTAATCCTCCCTAGCAGTCTTATTTCTCTTTCTAAATACGTAACTTCCCTTCAGTATGAAACTTGCAACACATTCTTTCATTCACAACTATGATACATATCCATATTTAACTGTTATCGTACCTTTTTTTTCACATTTACCACCACTTAACTTCATTTCATATCTACTTTTTATACTTTTCAGCTTCATACGTACGCTCATCTTGGTTTTAGTTTCAGGCCTGATAGCTCAGTCGTCTTGTATACAATACATGCATTATCGTCCAGTTTGATTATAGCTTGTAGAGCTACATATATATATATGTATCAACAGCCTTTACTTCTGCATCTACTTTACGAAGCTCGATCAATTTTCACTTGTATATTAACTCATTGTACCTCAGTTGATTCATTTATTAGCGCTACATATGTACACCACTTTCCTTCTCTATATTAATCCAACTTTCAAATATATTTTTATTTTTTCTACTCTTCATGGATTAATTAATTTTATATTACCACCTTACTTCCCCCCTATCAATCTGCTGTCATTCCAAACGTCTTAACAAGTCCACTGACACAGTTTTGTTTTATATATCTTTAAAGTTCATTCATTCTAAATGAATTTTACACATTTTTTCACTCATACATCTAATCTACTTTGGTCTCCAATCATCATCCAAACATTGACTTTACATCTTTAGGTCAAGGTTACATTTATATATATCCTTATAACACATATTTCCAACCTCCACATTTAGACACCCACTGTTGTTTTTCTCCAACCTACACTCTTGAGTCTATCCAACCTTCGTTCGTATCATCACTTAAACATACATCTTTGCCATCTTCGTTCCTTCATTTACTTCACTTATCTGCTGAATCTTTAGTTATACATCTTCCTCACACATCTTTAATGACTTCAGTCCTACATCAACTCTTTATTTATTAGGCTTAGTTTTTATATCTACTCTGTTAATATGTATACGTCTTTATAGATAGCAGCAATCTGTAGTAGCGACAGTCGTTTTATCTCGATGTTTGAGCAGCTTCCGTTTTCCGTCTTCGGGTCTTGGTTTTAGGTTCATGGTATAATTCTTCGTATAGCTTATCACCCTTTTTGTATCTCTGATCAATTCTTTTTTGTTGTTGTTGTTGTTGAATTAATGTTATTAATGTAAATTCCCTTTACATATTACTAATTTTATCATAAGTTATTGCACTTAAAAAGATTATTTTTCGTTGTTAGCTTATTATACATTTTTCAGAAGTAACCCAAATTTCCGAAGCTGGCCAAATTTTGTGAGATATTATTAGAATTATGGCAGAAACTATCGTTAATAGTGAAGGTATTCTTCGATGATTCAATCCATTTTAATCATTATAGATGTTAGTTTTCTTGTGTATTGAAGTATGACATTAAACAGTTAATATCATTTCAGTATATCTGTGTTTATTAATTCGTAACTTACTGATTAGTTCTAATCTATATATATTTAGCTTACTTTTGGTTAAAAGCTAGAAGTAACACATTTCAGACTACACCATTAACTTTCTATTCATCACCACGTTTTTATTTCCATCTATATTTCTATCCTTATTCATTCATACTTATACGTATATGCGTACTTAGTGCAGTATTTCTGTATATCTCTCATGACACCATACAGAAATGTCCAATGTTGTTTTAATAGAATCACAACACGGTTCATCAAATCATAAAGCTGCCATTGTTTTTCATCATTATTCCTATACTTCAAATGTTTTAAACAATTAGTTATGTGCTCGCTTTTAGTTTCAATAATATATATGTGTACTGTCAAAATAAAATGTTTAAATGTTCGTGATGTTGATTGGACAGATTCCCTCTTCTTTATTTGATATTATAACGTTAGTGATAAGACGTAAATAAGTATATGATATTCTACTAATGTTTTAACTCTGTACAGTTCCATACTTATTTCGTGCATAGATAATATTAATTTAATGTACAAAAACAAGAGACACAGGCAACTTATGAAGTGAGTTGCTGGCATTCAAGTAAGACTAGGCTTAACTGCCAAAAACGTTTCGCGAATTTCATGTTATATTTCGACTTACTGAGAAATACGTGGATTCCATTTGCTTTTGTTGTTTTTCGCAAGTAAACATTTTTAGTTAACTGAATATTAGCTTTCATACATAAATGTTTTATAGGGTCTGAAAAGCTATACATTAGTGGTTGGTTGGTTTGTTTGTAGCTAAGCACAAAGCTACACAAACGGCTATCTGTGCTCTGCCCAACACGGGTATCAGTCCGCATCAGTGGGTTAGTCAAATCATTTGAAATAAAATTGCGAAATATTTGCATATCGTAATAAAAATGTTCGAAACTGATCATCTGCAGAATAAGATATTTGTGGATCGTGATAAAAAAATTATTAGAAAATGATCATGTGTTGAATTCCAGCTAATCTGGTTTTGTTATCACATTTTATTCAGTATTTCCAGATAGAATAGGTTATCCACTTTCTTGTTTCTTGTTATTTTAAACACCGTTAACGCTATATGTTGACTTAGATGTAAGATTTTCTCAAGTGGTATTAATTATTAACCTCCCTGTTCTTTTCTTATTGAATATGGCCAGTAATGGTGAAATGAACTGGACGTGTGCATGTGCTAAAGAATGCTAACGACAATCCGATTTTCGATATATTCACAAAATGTTGGTACTGTGTCGAGGGTACATGACACTACTATCAGTCGTACAAGATGTAGTAGGACGCGTCGTTTGTTGCGTAAGGAAAAAATGTAGTGTGTCTTGAGTAGCTATGCAGACTGATGGGAATTCCCGCATTTAACTTCTGCTGTTGTACTTGTGGGATACTTGGCTCCAAGGTGCCGGGGCTGTTTTGAAAATACGCGTTAGCTAATCGGTTGCATACCAGTCATTTAACTCCAGGTTTTCGACGTTTTGGCACAGAAGGTTTCTTCTATCCCAATGTTACCTAGGGCATGTGTAAGTACATCTTGTGTAATCCGTGATGTACACATAATCTTTTAAACATAGTATATTATAGATATATCTGTGTGTGTGTGTGTATGTTTTATAAGCTTGTCGAACAATTAATCTATCAACGGATATGTTTTCTGTAATCTCGTAATCTATCGCAGATATTAGGCCACGTTCTTTCTACTTACATATAAGCCATTATAGACTTTGTATGTGTATTTCCGCTTTTAACTGGTGAACTGCTGGACCGATTGTCACCAAACTTGGCATGTACCCTTAAGGTTCTCTTTGTCTTCCACGTGCATTGAACGAGTACGTCAGCTAGTATGTATATATTTACATATATTTTACTCATGTACGTTACTGTGGTTTTAAAAAGTAATAAACATACTTCAAACAGCCCACGTATATTTCCATATCAAAACATTGAATATTTCGGTATTAGATTTGTGTGAAAGTTAGCATGGCTTGTGGAAATCTTACGTGATGTTAAAAAAATATCTTTGTGTAATAATGGATCTATACAAATCTTCATAATTATGTTTATTACTCACGACAGAATTAAATTATTCTACACATACGCACAACATATAGTTTACACATACTAACAGTGACACTGTCGTTAATTTTATATTCTTTATATATCCGTAAACATTTGATTCTTATTAAAAATAATAAATATTCGCGAATGTAAAGTAAAAGTTGATAATCATGTTTGTGCATAAGAAATGAAATAGCTGCTAATCAAGCCTATCAAGTCATATATATTGTACTGTATTATTGAACAAAATTGTGTAGATATTTATGACGTTTATTTGACACAAACATATTTTGTTTATTGTTAAAAATCAATACTTGCCCGTGAGGTTTTACTTCAATAACACATTAGCATGTTTTACTTTAATAACACATTAGCACTAACAGAATTTGTAAAAAAAAAGAATGAAACATTCTTTAGTTTATTCTTTAAAATATAAGAATAGTTGTCAAAAAATGAAAACATTTGTGTAGTTTTTCAATGAAAGATACATTAACTCCCAAAAAGTCCATTTCCGTTTTTATCATACTCTTGTCTTGTTTATTTTATCTCGTCTCTAGGTATATTTTTAGTGTAGACTTTAAGTTATAACTTTATAGATGATATACCTTATTAATATACATATATAATTTAACAGTATAATTAATATGTTAAATTACTCTCGTTTTAAATGGTTTATGCGATAAAATGTTGAAGGTAAAAAATACATATATTTTAATCTTGGTCAACCAGTACAATCTGATTAAATAGTATACATTTTCCAATCACCCTTGTAGTTATACAAATCATTTCGGATCAACGCCACGTTTACCAATGGATCAAAGTCAGTAACTTTTCGTCTTCAAATCATAAATAACACTACATTTCAGTACAGTCTCTCTCAGTTTCGTCTAATTTCATTTTTTCATATTGACAGCGTTTGACTGAGTAACAATCTGAAATAAATTTCACTAGTGTCAAGTATACTACGTACCTAATAATGCATTATATAAAGTTATCATAGTTAATGATCTAAATAGCAACTGAGTGATGTAAAACAAAGAAAAAACTCGTTTATCAACACAGCTCCGTTCTACATAAAATTACATAAATAAGTCAAGGTTTGCAAGTAT